TGCCCTCTGCATGGGTCTACATGTCCAAATCTCCTTTTATTACAGGGACAACGGTCATGAGGGCCCACCCTAAGGCCTCATGTGACCTAATCTCCAAGGTAACATTGTTCTTTCCAAATACAGTCCTATTCTGAGGACCTGAGGGTTAGGACTTCCAGATGTGAATATGGGAGGACACAGTTCAACCCGTAACACTCCCCATGCCCCAGTTCTGAGACTTTCGGGAAAGAACAGTGCTGTATCTGCTGGGGTTGCTGAGTACATGTTATATACACCTACAGCTACACTGGCGGCCACCTTCCCAAGCACAGGTCACTCCAGAAGAGACTATCTGAAGACAAGCTGAGAAGAGCTGACAGAGGAGAGCAAGCCCTGAGCCCAGATGGGCCTGAAGCCAGCTGTATCTTGGACCTTTCCATTTCTAGTTTTGTGCACTAAAAATTTCCTTTTTTGCTTTATTAGTGCAGGATGATCAAACACTAATTAATGTTCTGATGCTAGTAACCCAAAGAGTGAGCGAATGCAAAGGCCAGAGTGACCCATGGCTTCAGGACACACAGGGTGGGACCACAAGGCAGTTATTTATGAGGCAGAGTCAAGATTCAAGCCCAGGTTCCCAGGCTCCAAGGTGCTGGCACTCACCTGTTCTCTGGGATGCCTCCGAGTCACTACTGTTCACAGCACGGTGGAGGCCGGGCCACAGGGCAGCCCCCAGGGGTAGGCTTCAGGACCCACCTGGCCACAGCCCTCCCTGCAGCAACCTGTGTTTGCTGCCCTAAGCCCAGCTTCTCCCCACAGACCGAGGGCTCCAGTCCTTCAGTCAACACCCTCAGGCCTGCAGCGTGCCTGGCAGAACAAAGCACAAGGAAGTCAGACAACAGGCTACACAGCAGGCCTTCTTCCCTCCACTGCAGGACACATGCAGCCCTGTCTGAACAACACAGCGTTGGAAATGACCCAAATGTCCTTGGCAGGGCTGGTCAAGTGCATTACAGGGCATCCCAACAGCATGGCCAGATTCTTTCCTGGACCAAAACAAGGCAGCAGCTGTCTCTGATACACAGACGGGCACAGATCACCTCAAAGAGACACCGCAAGTCCATGAAAAACAATGCAGGACACCTATTGGAGGGGGAGGGGAAGGGGGGAGGAGGAGGAGTTACTACTTTAAAATTAGCTGAAATGGGCCAGGCATGGTGGTTCACACCTATAATCCCAGCACTTTGGGAGGCTGAGGTGGGTGAATCACCCGAGGTCAGGAGTTCGAGACCAGTCTGACCAACATGGTGAAACCCCATCTTTACTAAAAATACAAAAATTAGCTGGGTGTGGTGGCAGGCATCTGTAGTCCCAGCTACTTGGGAGGCTGAGGCAGAAGAATTGCTTGAACCTGGGAGGTGGAGGTTGCAGTGAGCCAAGATCGCACAACTGCACTCCAGCTTGGGTGACAAGAGCGAAACTCTGTCAAATAATATAAAAGAAAATTTAAAAGCTGAGTGTGGTGGCTCACGCCTGTAGTCCAGCACTTTGGGAGGCTGAGGCAGGTGGATCACCTGAGGTCAGAAGTTCATGACCAGCCTGGCCCACATGACAAAGCTCCGTCTCTACTAAAAATACAAAAATTAGCCAGGCATGGTGATGGGAGCCTGTAATCTCAGCTACTTGGGAGGCTGAGGCAGGAGAATCGCTTGAACACAGGAGGCAGAGCCTGCAGTGAGCTGAGATTGCACCATTGCCCTCCAGCCTGGGCAACAAGAGTGAAACTCCATCTCAAAAATAAATAAAATAAAGTAAAAAGTAAAATAAAATAAGACATAGGGCTGCCGTGGCAACAAATTACCACAAGCTCTCCCAGTTCTGGGGGCAAGAAGTCCAAGGTGTCTGCGGGTGGGCTCCTCGGGGAGAGTCCCTCCCACACCCCCTCCGCAGCTCTGGAGGCTGCCGGCATTGTGGTGTTTCTTGGTTGGCACATGCAGCATGCCAGTCCCCACTCGCCAATCCCCACTCTGCCATCATCTAGCCCTCTGGTTTGTGCTTCTCTGTCTCTAATCTCTCCTTGCCTCTTCTAAGGACAATTGGCATTGTATGTAGACACACCCTAAATGCTGACTGACTTATTCTGAGATCCCTGATTACCCCTGCAAAGACCCTATTTTCCAAGGTCATATTCACAGCTACTGGGGGTTAGGACTTGGACATATTTTTTGAGGGCAACAGGATTCAACCCACTACACTATTTTATTGAGGAGAGTGTAAGGCTCACCAGAGCCAGCTCAGGGCCCCCCTGCCAGTCCTCCTGCCAGCGATATCCACTGGCTGGGGCAAGAGAGAAGCCCCTGCCACCACGCTCAGCCTCACAATGGGGGGCACATCCAGAAAAGCCACCCCTCCTCTGGCCTTGCTTATCTGCCTGCTGCAGGCCAGGATCCAACAAAAGATTCCGCTGACTCCCGGGCTGCTGGGTGGGGAGCCGCGGCCAGCTCTAATCAGACGGGGAGCCCCGCTGCAGAACACGGTCTGTGTCTCCACACTCCAAAAGCCCGCAGGACGCGCTGGAGCCTTGCAGCCTTGGAGCCAGGGAGAAGAGGAATGAGTGAGGACTTCCGGGGTTGGAGGCAAGGGCCTCTGTTCTTTATAAGACAAGGGGCTCACGTGCTAGCCTGCTGGGGAGTAGCATTCATGAAGGCTCCGGTCTAAAGGGCTCTCGAGGTGACGGGAGAGAAAGTGCAGGCACGGACACGGGTGTGCTGAGGGGTCTGGCTAGGGTTGTCGTGCTGCACCCCAGGGCCACACTGACCACACCTGCCAGGACGGCCTCCATCACAGCCTGGAGTTCCTGGGACAGCATGAGCACGGTGCTGATGGCCAGCAGGGGCTTCCCAGGGAGCAGGGAAGTCCACCATGCCTTTCTCTCAGTGGGACTGGAAGCTCTGACCATCTCTTCAGTCCCCCATGGTCTTCCCCAGACCTTCTTGGGAGCCTCTTTCTAGAGGAGTTCAGGTCCCCTGTTCCCTGCTCCCCACTTCTGACGGAAGGCAGGACACAGGTCCACCTGTAGTCACTGGCTTTAACTTATACCTTCTCCATAACCTCAGAAAGCCCCCCAGAGCCTGCTTCAAGATGTTATCATTTACTGATAAAGACCCTCCGTGCTAGTAAGGGGCAGACCCAAGATGTGGCCCCAGTTCGGACTGATCCGGGAGCTCCATGCCAGTCGGCATCCCCCTTCTCCCACTCTCCATCCATCATCTGTCCTGGGGACTTTCAAGCCTTCTGTCGGTAACCCACAGCAAGAAACCCATCTCACGCCACCCACGTCCAATCCACAAATACTAATAGCCAAAACCAAAATCTCATTTGGACGTTTTTCATTCCAGACTTCTATGCGAGTTCACAGTTTCATGCTAGTGGTTGCTGGCGGCACCCAACCAAACTGATGTGGTATCCACAAATGGGGTGTGACTCCTAGTTCAAAAAACACACACATAGGTATGCATCCAAACAACACTCAGAAAGAGGGGGACGAAAAAGAAGGACTGTTGGCATTTTACACATTTTGCAGATCATCTAAAAATCCATTTGTGGATGTGAATTTTTCCTCCCATTTAATTGCAATTTCTGACTCTTTTTTCTTTCTTTCTTTTTTTTTTTTTTTTGATGGAGTCTCACTCTATCACCCAGGCTGGAGTGCAATGGCGCAATCTTAGCTCACTGCAACCTTCGCCTCCCGGGTTGAAGCAATTCTCCCACCTCAGCCTCCTGAGTAGCTGGGACTACAGGCACGTGCCACTACACCTGGGTAATTTTTTATATTTTTAGTAGAGACGGGGTTTCACCACGTTGGCCAGACTGCTCTCGAACTCCTGACCTCAGGTGATCTGCCCGCCTCGGCCTCCCAAAGTGCTGGGATTGCAGGCGTGAGCCACTGCACCCAGCCACAATTTATCTGTGGCCTTCTCGATCTGTGAATAGAGTCATTCCCTTGTCAAATCCTCTTTCTCTTATTAAAACCTCAGAAGTCCTATAAGGCTAGCTCAAGCTCAACCACAAAAATCATCTCCCACTCAGCCCTCACAGACAGAAGTTTCACACCATGAGACTCACCTTTGCAGAAATCTCAGGGCATCTCCCAACCCTGGAGTGTTAGTGAGTTCGGTTTCTGGACCACTTGGCTAATGAAAGGAATGACAGTGAGGACAAGGGACACTGCGCAGTTCCTGTGTTCTCTGGACCAATAACAAAAGTCACCTTTCCCTGCATGTCGAGAAGTCTGAGATACATCACGATTTTCCACTCATTTACTGGTATTAGACACCATTCTAAAGGAGGCTCATTCTAACTCTGAAAACACCAGCGTTAGAGACCACACAAAGCTCCCCTGAGGACACCTAGGAGACCTGTTATGAGCCTAGATTTAAGCCATGTGGATTAGGAGTCAACAATTCCTGGTTTCATTCACAGCCATGCGGATCTACACCAGCAAATCCAGAGAAAGTCCATGATAATCTGAATAATTCAGACCTCATTTCCTGTTTCCTTCCTCTGCCTCCATCGCAAGAAATGAAAACAAGAAGCCTATGTCCACTAGATTATTTATCCACCTTCTGCACATCTGACATAGAGCTCTGGTCGCAACGTTGGTGCAGTGGGGGCGACTGGCGTTCCAGGCTGTCACCTCCCATCAGTTCACACCCCTTTCTCCATCTTTGAAATGCGCCAGCTGCTACTCCCTTACCATCTAACTCTTTAGGCAGCTAAGTCATCTCTGATGATGCCTCAGCTCCTCCACCAATACCACCCAGCAAACCGAGTCTGTTTACTTTGCTGGAAACTGACCAGAGAGCCTACCAGGGTCAATGTGGGAAGAAAAGGCCCCAGAACAGTGCACGAAGACGACGGCCTGACACCCCAGTCCACCTTCTAGACCATGCTGTTCTCAGCAATCCCAAGCAAATGGCGGCGGAAGGCAGGAGGCAGAAGGGAGCTCAACCTTCACTTACCTGGGGGGCAGACACATTCAGATGGGGCTTCCCGAGCAGTCCGGAGCTTCACTAGTCCGTCCAACTTCTGAGTTGGAAAAAAAAAAAAAAAAGAAAAAAAAACAAGGAAAGAATGAGTTTCAGAACAGAGAGGGGTAAGAGTGGAAACATCAGCAAAAACAAATGTATCTAAACCATCCACAGTGCTGGGGGTGTCTTTGAGACCATCTCTCAAAAGATCATTAAATTCTACAGGGAATTTTAGAATGAGAAAAAACAAACACAAACACTAAACAGTTACTGGTGAGTCCCTGAAAAGGTGGCAGGTCTCTGCTTTGTTACAGCATTTTCAAATAGAATACCAAGAGTTATGAACAACAGAAACAGCTTCCTGCAAGTCAAGAAAAGCCACAGCAACCACCACTCCTGAAGGGAGCGAGGCTGGGGCTGAGGGAGGCCTGGGGAGGGCAGATCAAAGCTAGTCCTCCAGGTGGCTTTCTGCACTCACAAGGCCACCCCGTTCACACCCGGGAAGTCCCGAAACCCCATGGCTGCAGCCCCTCCCAGCCCACGGGCCTGGCACCTGATGGCCCGGGCTGAATCACCCTGATGAAACATTTTCCTTTGTTGTTTTCTGTTTTCCATTTTCCTTACTTACCAGTGGGGATCCCTGGCCTAGAAAATTTGGTTCAGTAAAATTTAACAAGAATCCCTACACATGCCCAGCCCTGTGCCAGATTTGGGTGAAAGGAAAAGAATCACCACAGAAAGAGGGTCAAAAGGCACAGCTCCCCTACAATGCAGGGACTGCTCTGGCAAGCTCCTGGCCCAGTGAAACCCTATGGGCACCTCTGAGGCCAGAACAAATGGTCCCTGCCTCACAGACGAGGAATGCAAGCTTGGAAAAAAGAAATTTCTCCTGCATCCCAAATCTAGGTTTAGAGGAATGAAGCAATTGGCCCAAATCCCAAAACTAGCCAGAACTTGAGTCTCAATGAAGATACACAGTCTTAACCTTTCTCTAGGAGGGAAAAAAATCCCCCTAAAAGCAAAACAAAGCAGAGCACAAATCCGTGCAGACTTAAGTGAAGAGTACAGTGCTACCATAAGAGCAGAGGGCTTCATGTTCAAACGTTGAACAGTAATTTTTAAGCACTGCTTTAGAGGAGGAGAGAAGGGCACCCCTTGGTCTTGAACTCTTGACCACCAAGCCTGGAATTTGCATAGAGGACAAGACCCCAGCCAGGCCCTGTCTGCCTCTGACTGGAACATCCCAGGACCAGGAGACTTCACCAGGGCACCTCCAGCCACCGGAAAGGCAGTTCCATTTCACCTCCCATTTCATCCTCATTTTACAGACGGGCAGCAAGAGGCACAGAGAGCTAAGCAGCTCCTATAACAGAGGAAGTTACCATGGTGTAAGTGTGTCGGGGTTGGGTCCTGCTGGGGTGTTCGTGGCCTCGCTGACTTCAAGAATGGAGCCGCAGCGTGGTGGCAGGTGCCTATAATCCCAGCTACTCCGGAGACTGAGGCTGCTTTAAACCCGAGAGGCGGAGGTTGCACTGAGCTGAAGTCGTGCCCACTGCACTCAAGCCTGGGTGCCAGAGCGAGACTTCACCTCAAAAAAAAAAAAAAAAAAAAAAAAAAAAATGGAGCCGCGCGCCAGACGCGGTGGCTCACGCCTGTAATCCCAACACTTGGGGAGGCGGAGGCGAGCGGATTACCAAGGTCAGGAGATCGAGACCATCCTGGCTAAGATGGTGAAACCCCGACTCTACTAAAAATACAAAAAATTATAGCCGGGCGTGGTGGCGGCGCCTGTAGTCCCAGCTACTCGGGAGGCTGAGGCAGGAGAATGGCGGGAACCCGGGAGGCGGAGCTTGCAGTAAGCTGAGATCCGGCCACTGCACTCCAGCCCGGGCAACAGAGCAAGGCTCTCTCAAATACAAAAGGATGGAGTTGCGGACCTTCGCAGTGAGTGTTACAGCTCTCAAAGATGGCACTGACACAAAGAGTGAGCAGCAAGAAGAGTTACTGTGAAGAGCCATAGAACAAAGACCCCACAACCTTAAGGACCCGTTGACACTGCTGCAGCTGGCTGGAGCGGGTTTTGGCCAGGGGAGCAGCTTTTATTCCGTTATTTGTCCCCGCCCATGTCCGGCCGATTGGTTCATTTTACAGAGTGCTGATTGGTCCATTTTACAGAGTGCTGATTGGTCCATTTTGCAGAGTGCTGATTGGTCCATTTTACAGAGTGCTGATTGGTCCATTTTGCAGAGTGCTGATTGGTCCATTTTACAAACCTCTAGCTAGCTACAGAGCGCTGATTGGTGCGTTTTTACAAAGCACTGATTGGTGCATTTTACAAACCACTTCTAGGAAAAGTTCTCCAAGTTTCCACTCCACCCGGAAAGTCCAGCTGGCTTCACCTCTCGAAAGCAATACCAGGGCAGCCAGAGGGTTACTCCAGGGGGTGCCTTTAGGCGCACTCACTCTTCCATCATCACTGCACTCCCCAGCCCTGACTCTGCAAGCCCTTGGCTTGCCCTGTAAATCGGAATCTGGTGGGGCCTCTGGATGCCAGGCTCCCAGGTGCCCGCAGGGACTGGACCTGCCACTCACTACTGCTCTGGATGAAGCTTCCCAGCTGTCCCACAGGGACCTTGTGAGCAGCCTGGGCCAGCCGCCAGCCTCCAGAGGCCCCCTGCAGCCTGTGGGTGAGAGCTGCTCCACCCTAGCGCAGCAGACACCACCCCTACTCATCCCCACTCCCAGCAGGGCTGCCTGGGGTGGAGTCCATGAGGGGCTGAGGCTTTTGCACAGAATGGAGCACAGTGGCCACACCTGTCCCAGTTGAATGGGGGGCCCATGCAAAAGCTGCAGCCTTGAGCCGGACCTCATAACTCACTTGGTTTTTTTTTTTTTTTTTTTTTTTTTTGCGACAAAGGTCTCACTCTGTCACCCAGGCTGGAGTGCAGTGGCAAGATCTCCACTCACTGCAGCCTCAACCGCTCAGGCTCAAGCAATCCTTCCACTTCAGCCTCCTGAGTAGCTGGATATACAGGCATATGCCACTACACCCAGCTAATTTTTAAATTTTTGTAGAGACGGGTTTTCACTATGTTTGCCCAGGCTGGTCCCAAATTCCTGGGCTCAAGCAATCTCACCTGCCTCTCAGAGTGCTGGGATTACAGGAACTGAGTCACCGCGCCCAGCCAGAACTCACTTTTTCCCCATTGCATTTGCAGATATTAAAGCAGATTTCAAAATATACTTGGAGAAGAAACCCAACGTTTTAGTTTAACATAATGATCAATCTGTGTGTTTTTTTTTTTTTTTTTTTTTTTTTTTTTTGCGACAAGGTCTCACTCTGTCACCCAGGCTGGAGTGCAGTGGCAAGATCTCCACTCACTGCAGCCTCAACCGCTCAGGCTCAAGCAATCCTTCCACTTCAGCCTCCTGAGTAGCTGGATATACAGGCATGTACCACTACACCCAGCTAATTTTTAAATTTTTTGTAGAGACGGGTTTTCACTATGTTGCCCAGGCTGGTCCCAAATTCCTGGGCTCAAGCAATCCTCCTGCCTCTCAGAGTGCTGGGATTACAGGAACTGAGTCACCGCGCCCAGCCAGAACTCACTTTTTCCCCATTGCATTTGCAGATATTAAAGCAGATTTCAAAATATACTTGGAGAAGAAACCCAACGTTTTAGTTTAAGCCAGTCAATCTGTGTGAGAAGCTCTCATCTGTTTTTATCAGTGCTAGACAGGACAGAAAGGACTTCCACACTAATTTCATTTTTTAAACAAAAGCATTTCATGCCAAAAACAATTCACTTCTAACAACTGCTGTCACACTTGGGCTACTGCTATCACATCGGAACCTCTCTCCTGAAGGGGGAGAAGGATTTTATCAACTACTGATAGGAAACACAATTACTTTTAAGCTACTCTTACCTTAAAATAAAAAGCTAGGTACTGTTAATGCTAGTGGCGGGATCATAGGTTACTGGGATTGCACTGGTCATTTATCCTAACTCCCTTTGTGCTTTTGTTTCTCTAGATTAGATGGTGAATCTGTAAAGTTTTCTCTCCTGGATCCCTCCCCTCCCCCACCTCCAGGCCCCTCACTTTCTGTGTTCTGACTACTAAGAATACAAAGTGAAATGTTAGAATGAGAAACCCAATCTCACAATCTTTAACTTCATGTCTTTTTTTTTTATCCTAAGAAAATATTCCTTTGTGTCCAGGTTTGTAAAAATCACTTACAAGCCTCAACATTTTATATTCAATTATCTGGCGGCACCCCCAGCATCTGCAAACAATATGGTCCTGGTTTTACATATGCAAACAAGTCCTGACTCTAAAAGTAAATAAAGGATGAGTTTCTGAGAAAAGACAAGAGACTTGGGGTGAGTTCCCTTCTAGAAGAACTGGGAAGGAGAACTTGAAGTCTGGGGGAGGAGTGGCAAGAGCTCAGGGAATCAGGGAAATCCTGGTTTTTAAAACAGCATTCATGACATAGTCAAGAGGATACGTTTATGAATGATCTGTTGGGGCACTGGTCTTGAACACTTCACCAGATGTTCGATCACATCCTCAAGTGGTTTTTTGTTCTGAGGAAATATAGACTGACAAACAAAAGAAAGATGCAATGATTTATTCCTGTAAAATGCTGTAAATAATGAAGACATTTCTATCCTTTGACTAAAAATTCCTACTCTGGGGAATATATCCTAAGGAAATAAATCAGCAGAAGCAAAACATGATATTTATGAAGCAGTTGCACTGTACAACAGTGGGAATAGTTTAGTGGAAGATGTGGAATCCCCTTGATGCAGCTGTGACATCAGGAAATAGCATTATGAAGACTATAGCAACAAGGAAAAATGCTTATGCTACAATAAATAAAATGTCTACATTGACGTAGAAACACAGACACGGGGGAACAGCAACTAACAAAACAACCCAGGTGGCTGTTGGAATGATGGTGATTTACTTCTTTCTGGGTTGTTGTAATATCATCTTCTCAGTGAAAAACAAAAAAGCCTGAAAGTAGAAGAGACAATGTAAACCCTTGAAATCTCC